GATTGATTAACAACAGATCCCACCCACTCCTCCTTGCCTTTACTGTATGTTCCCGCCCCCTATCTTTTTAGCTAGGTCAATTTTATAGTATTATATTTCTATTACCAGTAAAGTATGCAGTTTTATCTTTTAATATTGTAAAGCTACCCAGAGTTACCATGTGGCAGCATGGGCACTTAATAAATTTTACAAAGAAATGAATAAAATAAATAAATATACTGAATCCAATCACAGTTCTAATTAGCCAATTAGCTGATTTTTATCTTGGATAAAAATCTTGTTATCAGTGTTGTGGGTCAGATGTGCAGTATCTATGGAACTCTAATTATTATTAAAGGGTAACTTCCATCCAGAAGTGTCCACAGGGAAGGTCAAAATGATGTACGTGGCTAGCAGTCAAAGCCTTGCCCTTTGAAATGTAGATCTCATGCATCACATAAAAAGGGATGGGGCTTTCAGTGTCTGGTCACACCTGCAATTTTGGTATTGTTGGCCTCCTCTGCAGACACCCCTGGTCCCATCATTCCTGAATTTTATGCAGAATGGGCAGAAAGCTGTTGAAATCCAAAAATATCTAGAAAATCATGGATTTCTGATGCCTGCCTTAATTAGATATACTACATGTTTAATTCAAGATAATTTCCTATAGCTGTATGTTATTTACACTCTGATCTTTAAGAAACTAAAATTCCTCTTAATGAAGTCAAAAGAAAAGTTTGATCAAAGTCAAAAGAAGGTTTTAATCTAGTTTGAGATACTATGATGGCAGAGCAGAGCAATCTCTCTCTCTCTCTCACACACACACACAGACACACACACACACTCCCTCACCCCCCTCTCTCTAACACACCTATGATAGTGGTACCTTCCATGACCTTTTATGGAAGAATGAAATACTAGTAATGCACCATTTGTTTAGTTATTCCTTTCCATAGAACGACCTACAGAAGTGAATCACAGCCTGTTCTATCAGTAGATAGATTTTTCCCCCTCTCTCAGTATCCTAGGAAATAATGTTAAATTCCTAGGTTAACATCAAATGGTAATTTCTTTTAAGAGTATTGTTGAGGACAGAGTTAGTGAGAGTATGCAATGATGCACCTTGGGGGGAAAGTACATTTTGTCCCCAAATTTTTCTACCTGATAAAAGGATATAGCGGACTGTCCCTGTATTCTTTGCAATGTTGCTGATATGACTCTGCTGAATGGTTTTATCGCTATGGCATTAAATCAAAGGCAGCCTTTAATCAAAAGCTATCTTCTGTTCCCAGACCATCGTTAGAGGAAATAAACCTTGCAAGGATGCTTCAATCAACGGCTTGCTAGAAGAATTTGACAATATCTCCGTGACCCGTTCCAACTCACTTCGGAAGGAGAGTCCTCCCACGCCTCACCTGAGATCCTCCAACCATATAGAAATCCACCAGCAAGAAAATGGCTTTGTCACCTATTCCCAGTATTCCAGCGAATCAGAAACAGGGACCGATTTCTTTGTTGAAAGGTACAGAGACAGATGCCTTCGCGGGGAGGAAGTGGAAAGATACTCCCAAGGGAGCTGTGCTGCAAAGCAAAATGGACACCTGGCCAAGCTGAAACCCAGTGAGATGTATTTTTCTGAAGCCAAGCCTTTAAAGTCTGACTCTAGGTTCTTACCAGATTATCACACTTCCTTGGAAACAAAAAGTAAACTGAATGAGTATGGTGACCTGAAGCTGGAATATCAGAGGGCACCTAGTCACTCTTCTCTGGATTATAAAGAGCCTTTTCAATATGCTTTCTCTAGAACTTCTCTTCACAGTCAATACTCCAGAGAAGGACTAGAATACAGTGACAGTGAGTGGTCCAAGGATGATTACGACAAAAGACCAAAATCATCCTACGTGAACCAGGCAAGTCCTCAACCAGCCATGAGGCAAAGGTCAAGATCAGGGTCTGGCCTTCAAGAGCCAATCATGCCCTATGGAGCAAGTGCTTTTAAGTCCAATCAGCAAGGGTATTCATATAGTTCCTACACCTACCCGCGATTGTCGGAAACAGCAGCAGGCATTCCAAAGGTAAATTTGTAATAGATCCACATTTTTAACCTTACTATACTTTCAGTATTAAAACACTGTGTTTCTCTTTGGTAACCACTTCAGTGCCTCAGTTCTAAAGAGGGTTTGTGTCCCAGAAAATTGACATGAGTTAGCATGGACATTTTCTTAATTTAAATCCTTGTCATTGTGTATAATGAACAGAATGCAGTATTCCTGCTTCTAAATATGGGACAGAAGTCAAATCAGATTAATACAGGTACTAAGTAGCAATATCTAGTTGAAGATTGTATGATAGGCAATAGAAATATGTAGAACTAGTCCATTTCTAGCAATTTTCTCATATTTTTTCCTTGTGGGTTAATACTTTCATGGTCACCTCAAATATCCCTGTATTTTGGTACCAAATATAAATGCCAATATGTATATGAGTAAATGCTTTTTAAACTACCTTGTTTTCAAACTGAACGCAGGCTTAGTTGTGCGTCTTAGTTTATCTTTGGATGAGGTTTAAGATGCAGATAATACATACCGTATTTTTGGAGTATAAGACGNCCCTTAATCATGGGTAAGAAAAATAAAATAAAGGATTGTTTGTACAGTGTAGTTTGCATTCTGTTATATGAGATTTTTCTCTAATGGCAAGTTAATGTACAGTGGCCTGAGCCACAGTCAAAGCAGAGGATACAATGAGCATACAATGTCAAATCACCCATTTCATTTTTCCATGACCAAATTAATTCCAAGAGAATCAGAATATGATTAAATCTGGAGTATTGTAAATCTTTAATAATGCCGTTCTGTACTCACTGAGAACTAAGTTGCACAGTTCAGCATTGTTTTACACCTATATAAGTGTAAGACCTGAGCCTCAGTGATTGAGACTTTACAACTGGTTTTGCAACTGGTTGCAAGCCCCATGAACCGCAAAGGCCTCCTTTTTTGAGCAGGCATGGTCAAATGTTATTAAGATGGGTTGCAAATCAAGCTTGTTATGTAAACAATACACAGGTCCTGTTTTGTTTTATTACTACTCTTCTGAAGGGTCTGGCTGAACCAACTTCTAATAGGCTCTATGAGACAAGAACTCACATCAGCACTTATTGAGGCTCACACATACTGTCTCTGAGTAATATGCCTCTGCTCTTTTATTTGAGATGTATGCTAGTCATTGCACTGCATTTGTACAAGGACAATTTTCATAAAAGTCTCCTTCCGAGAGACATTTAAGACTTCAGAGTTTCTATAATTATTACACGATGGATCATATCCACTAAATTATCTCTATATCCTTGTTCCATTGTTATCTACTTCAAAGCTGCATATTCATATTTAGCATTGAAACACAGCGTAACTCATTTTTTGTCGGTATTATTTAACGGCCATCACTATCATTATTAATAGTCAAGGGCACAAGAGAGAAAATTTTTAACTAAACAAATAGAATTTATCCAAAGAGAGTTACAATTTCACACGAACGACTTAATATGGGTCATTGATTGATTAACAACAGATCCCACCCACTCCTCCTTGCCTTTACTGTATGTTCCCGCCCCCTATCTTTTTAGCTAGGTCGATTTTATAGTATTATATTTCTATTACCAGTAAAGTATGCAGTTTTATCTTGTAATATTGTAAAGCTACCCAGAGTTACCATGTGGCAGCATGGGCACTTAATAAATTTTACAAAGAAATGAATAAANTATATATATATATATATATATATATATATATATATATGAATGGTGAAGTAGTTGTATATACTTAATTTTTTAAAGAATTCTTTCCTTTCATTGATTTTTTCCTGTAAAATATTTCCATTAAAATGAGAAATACAGTACATTACTTTGATGTATGGTTTAATCTTAGCCAGACTGTTAAAATGTATTTCTCCACTATTACTACACTGCATTTAAATAAACATTTGGAAATAGACTCCTGTTTTAAGAGGGAAAGGGGGACATTCTCAAGAAAGGCATAAAATACAGAATTATTTGTTTAACGCAGGGTCTTCCTGGGGCAAAGCAGTTAATTACCTACTTCATTACAGTCTATGGAAATACAGTGGTTTTAAAGGAGAAGCTGTTTTTCATCTCCTCTTTGTTACACAGTGAGACAGCTGTTCTTACGACAGATCCATTATAGCTTATCACCAAAGGACAGACCAGAAACATCACACCATGAAATATGCCTCTTGTCACCACCAGCCAGAACAAATGCTGGGACTCCTCAGAAAGGAAAAAGATCTGCTTTTGGAGAGAAGTGGACATTAACTCAAATAGATTGGCTTCATTGATTTTAATGTACGAGGAATTACTATGACACAAAGGCAAGCCATAACTCCCAGCAGTAATATGGATTTCTCCCAAGTGCCCCTTCTTCCACGTTAATGTATGCAGTTAGCATCAAGGAAGGAAGGATTTGAATGATAAAAGTCATTTCTGGTTTTTCTTTGCACAAGGAACAGGCTACTTTCCAAAATCACTACTTTAGGAAATAAGATAATATTTTTTAGAATCAGTATTCCCAATGAGCCTTCATTGGGAAATAATAATGCTGATGTGGGCAGGGGATATGGATATGGTTATTATTTATTTGCAGTCCCAGATCAATAAAGTGGCTACAATCAGCTATCTGCTTCTAAACATAGTGACATTCTTGCCTATGAGGCCAAAGTAAAGATTGTGCAGCTCACTTTGCTTGTAAGGAGAAACTTCCTAACAGTGAGGATGATTGACCAGTGGAGCAGCTTGTCATCAGAAGTTGTGGGTGCTTCATTACTAGAGGTTTTTAAGAAGAGACTGGACAGTCACTTGTCTGAAAAGTTATAGGCTTGAGCCAGAGGTTACACTAGACCTCAAAGGTCCCTTCCAACTCTTTTCTGATTGATTGAATTATTGAGAAAGCCCTTCATATTTTCTTACAAGGGGCAGCTGGACATGCCAGTATCCAACCAATCCAATACCGATGCACAGAAATTAGAAATTCTATAAAAGTCTTTTGGGAATATGATTTTTTTTTTTAAAGAGTCTTATAGCCTTAAGACAAAGATTAAGCGTTCTCCCACTAAGGATGAACTTACTAGGCCTTTGTTGTAGGAATGGAAGAAAATGTAGCTTGTGGTACAGTAGCCTTCCATAAGAGATAAGAAATTAATTGTCTGTTAGTCCATGGAGGTCTCTAACCCTGTACAGGTGAAACTCAAAAAATTAGAATATCATGCAAAAGATCATTTATTTCAGTAATGCAACTTAAAAGGTGAAACTAATATATGAAATAAGACTCATTACATGCAAAGCAAGACAGTTTTCCAGAGGAATTTTGCAGGATT